AAATGTCTGCCATTCAAAACAACTCAAACCTCAGAAAAATTCTCTGCTTTTCAAGTAAATGCTCTGTTAATTTTCTAAACAGACACTTTTCTAAAACAGCTCTTTATTGCAGTGAAGGGCTGACTGTTGGAACGCAGTCTGTGGTCTAATRTGTCTTATGTGAAACACTCAAAGACAGTATTTTAAATGTGCACAATCCTCATGACTTTCTGATGCTTAAAATAATCCAGGGTGAGATCAATAACAAAGTGTTAATTTAAACCTGCAAGCAAAGAGTTTATGTTTGAATTGTTTTAGAYGGAAAAGATTAGTTGTTGGCCTGACTGCCTCATGAACATGTCTCCCCACTCAGATCTTTCTGACTGCTGTCTATTGCAGGTAAGTTATTAATTGTGATAACTATATTGAACTACACCTCTGACAGAAAGTCGTAATGGGAACTCGGAGAAGTTATCATGTGGGCTGCATGAAAGCTAACACTGTYGTCTCACAATAAAAATGACTGTGGTTTGAATCGTATTGGGATTTGTTGTTTTTGTATGTTCTCCTCTGTGCATGCATCAGATTTCTGCAGGTACTTCTGTTCTCTCCCACCATTCAAAAGCATACATGTTCGTTAAAGAGGGAAATTCTGAATTTACCTCAGATGTGTGTATTTGGGGACGACTGGACGGTGGAGCTGAGATCTATCCGCACCACTGCTCCCCGATTTAGAACAGGACAAAGTGGGTAAAGAAACAGAGCATGTGAGAGCGAGGAAATAACTTTTAAGGAAAAGTACAGATACGGAAAAATAAATGTTTTAATTGTTCCAGAAAGTCTTCAGTTGACCTACAGTTCAGACAGAGTGAGATGAATTTGTCTGCAGCGATGTTAAGATTTCGACACACAAGTTTGAGACTTCACTTCACTTCACTGTGCAACCCTTATGCTAACACCCACACCGTCATGTGCTAGAAAGTACAAATGCAGTTGTGGTCTGACAAGACATTTATTTTACATGTGAAGACTGGGGTTTGGGGTTTCCTGGTAAATGTGATGTGCTGCTTAAGTGTAATCAAGACAAGCAGAAAGGCACGTAAGTAAGGTTGAAAAATAAATCCTTCGTTGAGTCATCATCATGTAGAAAACACACTTGCTGATGGAAGTGAGGGAGAACAGAATACTTTGGACAGAATTTAACTTTTGAAAACTCTGACACTAACCAAAAGATCCTCAATTTACTGTTCACTGTATCTAAAGTATTTGATCATGACAGTGACATGACTGGCTGGAGGTTCTGTACATTTTGAGCGGAACAGATAACGTGTGCAGATGGAAGGTCTATTCAAGGGTGTTCCTCAAGGTTCAATCATRGATCCACTTCATTTTATAATCTATAGTAACAGCTTAGATAATAATGTGCCACATTCTCATTTTCATTTTTATGCAGATGACACTGTGTTGTATTGTGTGGTTAACTCAGTACAAAGTGCTTTTGAAAAACTAATTTTGAAAAAATAAAAATAAAAAGAACTGAAAACACTGGGGGGAAATGAAAAATAAATTGTGCTTTGAATGTGGTTTCATTAAATCTGGGTGATCTAAAACTTGACTTGAATTCTGATAAATCTAAAGTAATGCTGTTTCCTAACACTAAACCAAAGTGTTAATCTCAGCTGTTGTCACACATTATCAYATTTCAAAGCTCTGGGATTGAATTGGTATCTCAGTTTGAATCTTTGACCTTGTTCCCCATATTGAACAACTGGTAAAAGTTTGAAGCTAAAGATGAGTTTTTAATTTAGATTTATAGCTTGTCCATCTTTTGAGGCTAGAAAACATCTTGTTGCTGCCACATTTTTGCCCATCTTATACTATGGAGACGTGATTCATCTGCAGGCATCTTCTCATTTGTTGCATTTGTTGGACCCTGTATTTCATTGAGTGTTCATAGGCATAATTTGCGAGTGGGTGGGGGGTGGGGGGGGGGCTTCAAATTATTGTGGGGTTCCACAAAAATTTGATCCAGCCAATATGAGCTTGACCCAGGGCACCTGTTCTCCTATGTTTGCTTTGTTCTCTCTTCTTCTGAATGGGTGTTCTGAACTGTAATTTCACTGTGCTCTGTACAATGACAATAAAGGTCTAATCTGATCTAATCTAATCT